ATGGCGGCCAACATGCGTAATGCGACATGCGCGAGGACAGAAACTTCAAAGCTTCCGACGTAAGTGGCCCTTCTATATGGATCTTTATTCTATGGCATCATACGGCGCTACGAGATTAATATTATAATTATACCCGGAAATGTCGTCATAATTCGATCTCATTTCTTCCGGGGCAACTACACCAGCTTCCGTTCCAAAATCATACACCTGTACGGTACCCCTGTGTCTACGATGTTGTATGAGGTCATCAGCATACCACATATTAACCCGGGGTATTTTATCTACCGGAATATTAGCCGTTACAAGTCGTTCAGTATTAAAACGGCTAAGCCTCACAGGGTGGGATGCCCGCGTCTCCCATAGTACTCCACCCATTCGCAGGTCCCAGACTTTCAGGGTACCATCCTGTGCACCGCTGACCACTTTCCAAGAGTCCATTTGCACGGTTGTTACTGAGGATGAGTGACCTCGCAGGCTCAATTGTGGCTCCTCAGTACGCAAGTCGTAGACACGGACGCGCTTGTCTTTGCTGCCCGTTACCAGACCTCCCACGAAGCTTAGGTTTAAACACGTGATGTCGGCATAGTGACCAACAAAGAGACTCAGGTGTCTGAGCGTCGCAGTGTCGTAGAGACGGACCTGAAATATACAGCCAAAAAAGGTAATTGTCTAATCAACAAAGTTGGCCTTAATGGGGATTATTAGTACCATCTGCACACGTAAAAACGCACAAGTTGTAACAAACCTGCAGCAGACCTGTAGAAATGCTGTTCCAACAACTTATCAACAGGATGTGTTCGCACTGCTTGTTCCCATCTTATTGACAAGTTGTCAACGGCTTGTTGACAACTTGTGGCACAAGGCTGTTGAGCTCGAAAGATTTGTTACAAGTTATTCCAACAACTTGTTATCGTCCTGCAATTCAACAATTTGTCAACAAGTTGTGAGTGACAACCCTGTAGCAACTTGATAAAACAACAGCATTGTTACAACTTGTTGATAAGCTTGCTACAAGCCTGTTGCGAACACATCTTGTTGACAAGTTGTGAGATTTTCACGTGTGTCATGATCCAGTGATTGGAGACAAATTGCAAACGTCAAAATCCTCTTACCTTGGCTGTAAATTCAGTGCCAATACCAAATCCAAATGGTGCCCAACCAACGGCAATCAATCCCTCGCCACAGGCAAGAGATGTGACCTTCGTTCCAGCAACTTTATCAAGCTCTTTGAACACATTCAGCCTTGCCTCGTAAATGAATATATCTTCTTTCAAAGACAGTGCGAACAATGTTTTATTTGCATCCGAGCAGTCTGGTAGGGTCTCTACGAAACTTACCTACACGAGGAACAAATCATAATATAACCAAGAGTCGTTTACGCGGTATACAGCCTGCCAAACGTAATTAAGCAATCTCTATTCATGATGCAGTAAAACCCGCATATAAGAACCTAGATTTTCCAAGTTAGCCTAAACAGGTTCTTATGCAAATGGTGCTTACCAGGAAATTAGGCTAAACAGGTTCTTAAATAGGTTCTTATATTTTCTTCAGAGAAAAGCAACTCATTTTAGGGAGTGTGGCATATGCTTTATATTTAAATTAATGCACAAATATGATCTAAAATATGACAGTATATGCACTATACCAACCCTTTAAAGCTACATTGATTGTAACGTATGACTTAATTTTGACTCTACTTGAAATTCTAGTCTGAACAGGTTCTTATTTAAAGTGGGTCTAAATAAAATATTTTAGCCTGACAGGTTCTTAAATTCTAGGTTCTTATATGCGGGGTTTTACTGTAGTTAATTCCATCATTTTTTCTAAGCTGTGTTTCCCAGAGGTCCAGTAAAGGATGGTTTACACTATCAAAGTTTCTGTGATCACAGTAGGAATTTTGCATTGGTAAAGTTTTGAAGGATTTGTAAGAAATGTTTGAGGAAACTAATTCAGTGTTTAACAAAGGGAAATATAATTCTACTGAGTCTCTACCTTGTCTTCAAATGTGTGACTGTGCATGAACTGCCATTGTCCCTCGTCATTCACTTGATCAATACGGACATCTGTACCACTGATATTCAGTAGTAGTGGAGTCTCTTTTGAAGCCAAAGCAATATGATTGGCTGGTATACCCACGTGGTATTGGTAGATTGGGTCAACACTGATGTCTGTATGCCATACGTTTACAATACCTACATAGTGTTAAGAAAAGGTATATACTAATGTTAACTAAGAAAAAACTATACAGGCATCTCGCTCGATAGCGAAGTAGTATTTCATTCGAAGTAGTATTCAAAGTAGTATTTATTAGTACTATGAGGACTGGACTAGATTTCAAGTCCGCGCAATGGACGACTTGCGCTTTAGACTAAATTTTAATCTAAGTAAGAACAACGAAATATATCACCACAGCTAGAAAGAGCGTCTTGGAATTAGCAATATTACAAAGTTTGGTTGCAACATGTTGTAAAATACGGAAAATATAGCCCTTCAAAGTTGGCAAATTTGTATACATTTGTATTACGTGCGTGAATTGGTAACTAAATTAGTTACCAATTTCCGTATTTTACAACATACAATTTTACAATTTTCCGTATTTTACAACATTTCGCATGCAACCAAACTTTGCAGTTTTTCTAATTTTGATAACTTCTTTCCGAAAATATCCTTTGTTATTCCCAGATTAAAAATTTTTCTAAAGAGCAAGTCGCCCATTTGATCAAGTCCGAGGCGAACCCGAGGACTGGATCAAAATGTGAGGACTTGAAGTCCAGCCTGAATTGGACGATTTGAAATGACATGTCATACGAATAAATCAGTGCTTAAAGTAAGGTGAATTAATTTTGATCCAGTCCAAGGACTGAATTAATTTCGATCCAGTCCTAGGACTGGATCAATGTACTTCATCAGGTATCCAGTATTATCATGTGAGCAAAATAAAGCAATATGGTTGGCTAATTTACACATGAATTATTAATGAGTTTGAATGTTCAAAGGTTGTTGTAGGTGGAATATCGAGTGAGACTATGCACTTTAAACAGCGCAGCGCTCTGACCACTGAGCTAGAGTCCAGTTGCCAAGCATTAATTGACCACAAGTTCTTGTATAAATTATGTACTTGATGCGAGTGTAAGGTATATATCCCAGGGTAAATATTCAAGATTGAACTGAGTGTTCTACACTGGCATCACCATATACATGAGAATTTGTGGTATGCTTGGCAACTGAACTCTTCTGTATGTACTGTAGCTCTGTGTTCATTGCTTCACCGGAATCACAGGTACACGTGTTTGATTACTGCTGGATACTTAAAAGGTGTGCCCACTTATAAAAGGTACGTATGCTTAAGACAGGTCTCCGTTAATAAAGGGTTCCATTGTACAAAAGTATAACCCACCACATGAAAAAGCTGTGGCACAGACATTGTCAAGGACTGCAACACATTCAACACTTGCTTTGCTTGGATCCTGATGTACTTCTGCTGAAGCCTGGAGAGAATGTTGCCAGTTGCTCTCAATATTCCACAGACATGTCTTACCATTGGCATAGCCTGCTATCAGTAGATCATCACGTAACTGACAGGCTGTTAAAACACCTCCTAAAGCAAATAGGACAATTTTTTTAGAGAAGTGCCTGTAAAACATATTAGATGGGTGTCTGTACTAAAGAGGTCTCCATATTAGAGAGATGCCCATATTTAGACAGCCACAGGTGTCCATATTAGAGGGGTCTGAATTAGAGAGGTGTCTGTATTAGAGAGATGTCTGTATTAGAAAGATGTCCATATTAGAGAGGTGTCCATATTAGAGAGGTGTCTGTATTAGATAGGTCTGTATAAGAGAGGTGTCTGTATTAGAGGTGTCCATATTAGAGAGGTGTCTGGTGTCTGCATTAGAGAGGTGTCTGTCTGAATTAGAGAGGTGTCTGTATTAAAGAGGTGACTGTATTAGAGAGGTGTCCATATTAGTGAGGTGTCTGAATTAGAGAGGTGTCTGAATTAGAGAGGTGCCCATATTAGAGAGGTGTCTGAATTTGAGAGGTGTCTGAATTAGAGAGGTATCTGTATTAAAGGTGTCTGAATTAGAGAGGCGTCTGTATTAGAGAGGTATCCATATTAGAGAGGTGTCTGAATTAGAGAGGTGTCTGAATTAGAGAGGTGTCTGAATTAGAGAGGTGTCTGAATTAGAGAGGTGTCTGTATTACAGAGGTGTCTGAATTAGAGAGGTATCTGAATTAGAGAGGTGTCTGAATTAGAGAGGTGTCTGAATTAGAGAGGTGTCTGAATTAGAGAGGTGTTTGTATTAGAGAGGTGTCTGAATTAGAGAGGTGTCTGTATTAAAGAGGTGTCTGTATTGGAGAGGCATCCACATCAGAGAGATGTTCAAATTGGAGAGATGTCCATATTGGAAAGGTGTTTATGTCAGAGAAGTGGCTGTAATAGGGTTGTGTCCATATTACAGGTGTCCATATTAGTGAGGTCACCATAAAGAGTAATTTGACCTCACAAAAAACACATGAAAGATCTCAGCAAATAGCATGGTACCTAATGTCATTTTGCTCAAGCAATAAACATGGTTCATATACACATAAACAAAACCTTTTTCATATTCGAAAGTTTGAATCTGACATATTCGCTCCTTCCAATTCTGAGTGACCAAACGCCGCCTTAAAATTCCATCGCTCACAAGGCCTTTCCAGTCAACTTGTTCCCTGACGTTACTCCCTTGATCCTTGAAGCCTAGTCTCTTGTACACGTTATACCACAGTAACTCATCGTTAGCAATGGAAGCCCATGCCTTACTAACACAGGAACACCTACATAAGTCTGCTACATCTAAGTGACTGAGAATTTTTATGCAAATCTCCTTGGGAAGGCGTATGTCAAAGAATGGAATCGTAGTTGTCTCATCAATATCTCGGATCAATAACAATAGTAAATCTTCGTCAACTTGGCCATGCAGTATGGAAGCATTTGATTGGTTGTTTGTTTTATTGGTAATGTGTATACTTTCTGATTGATGGTAGCTTGGAATTTCTAGCGTTAGTAATGCTATTGGTTGTTTCGGTTCTATCTTTGGTTTCTTAGAAACCGTGTGGAAATATTCAGAATTATCCAGCTCCTTGCACACAGATGTCATTTCCGCAATGCTGTTATATTCCGAGGTGTTAAAAATCCTTTCTATAGCATTCGAATTACCATCGTTCTGGCAGTCATCAGATGTCGAGTCATTTTTGTTGCACGCTTGATTTTTTTTACAATTTTCAACAAGGCTTTGTTGTTTTGTTTTGATTTCATGTTTCCATTTTTTTCTGAACGAATTTAAGTCATTTCCAGCCATATTTAACCGATTTAAAAAGTCAAGGTTTCATAACATCGCTTTACGTACACCAGAAAAGCTGCATATACTTTTTAAGTATTAAAATATAATACTATATACATAATTTATGTAAATTATATACATCATTCTTCAGTGAACTGAGAATTATTATTTACAAAAAGGCCCATTAAAAATCCTTTTTCCAATATAGAATATTTATCCGTGGTTTCACAGCAACAACGTATGTATTTTGAATCTTTCTAAGGGACAAAGATCTTTAATAATACAAACAACTTTTAGAAAAACACAATATTCTAGTTCCATCATTTTTGATCCATCATTATTTTTCATTGTTCAAAAGAAATAATTTTCGAATTCCTTAGTAAAACTGCTAATATTCCTTAGTTTTCCGTGCATTTTCCTGGAAATTAAGCAAAAATCATAGAAAACGCAAAGTTAATCCGTAGTATTGTAATTTTTTAAGCAATAATAATTTCAAATGTTTTAAAATCTAAGGTATTTAACCACATTGTTTAGCATTTCTCTGGAGAAACCTCGATTACAAAGAGCATTCCTTTCTTTGAAGGATAAATCTTTCGAAGTTCGGAATGATCCAGTGAACTATATAGAGTTCAGTGTCGGATGAGCCAAAAGTGCGGTAAAGTTTCGCGGAATTGGCGGGTAACATTATTTCCGCGGGTAAAAATTGACGGCGGGGGCAATTTACAAAATTTAAAAGGAAAATGAGCGATCATAGAGAGCGACGAAAATTATGTAGTTCAAAAAGAGTGCCTGTTTTTTCAGCATTATTTCTATTAATCGCCACGACTGCTGTTTTCTTTGTATTCCCGTAAGTATACAGTTTATTGTCATGCCTTAAACGTGTCGAAACTCCTCAAAATCGTGTTGTTTTTGTTGATTTTAGTTGTCGCTATCTTGTGGCTGAAGTATCGCCATGGATAGCTGTGTACGAAGCTATTTTAACACTCGTTATAATTAGTAATTTTTTCCAAGCTACTATTCAAGACCCTGGCAAGATACCAAGAGGTAAATGGCCGACATGTTTTGGCTAAATCGATTTGTTTAAACCACAAAATATATACCGAATTATATATATGTTAAACATGGAATTTAGTATTGACTTGTATTAATGATGTCTAAATCTTCTAAATTAAAATTTAATGCAGCTTAATGCAATTTTTGTAAGGATTCATCTCTGCTTGAAAGTTGCTGAAGCAATTTTATGAAAAGGGCGAAGTTCTAAGTGAAATTTCAAAGCATTTTTTAAGCGGAGTATGAGCTAATGAGCCAAGCCTATTAGTTTTATATTTTTTTCAATAGAAACATCAATTGTGGTACGGACTTATCAAATTTAATTGATAATAAAATAAGCCACATTAATTTGAAACTGGGCAGATTTCAGTTTGCCTCAAAAGGTTTTTTTTGGATGGGAAAAGATTATTTTGTTTGTACCTGAAGATTTTCAATATATCCCAACAGGAAGCAGGAAGTACTGACAATTCATGACAAGTGACTGTATAAAACACAGCTAAAAAATTAATGGCTCAATTTAATTCTCAAGACAGATGATCTGTCTGGGCAAACTAGGGCAAAGACAGTTTATCTGTATATATAAAAGCTATGTTTGCACTATATGCTTATTTCCATAGTGGTGTGGAAAAGTACCTTCTTGATACAGAATATACAACTGAGCAAAACAACATCTCTCTGTTGCAATAATTCATTTGCAAATAGTGTTCCCAAAAGGTACGGGTAGCTGTTTTTTTATGTTGCTACGGAAAGATTTCTGGTACAATGTAAACGTAGCATAAATTTAGCAAATAAGTGGATCATTGACAAGTTCATGATGGCAATTGTAAAACCAAGATCAATTTGTACTCGACACTGAGGCCCTGTACACATGGTTCATGATTTGTTTGCATCTACAAACATTCAGTTTGGGTTAGTGATTGGCCGATCGACAGTCGGAATCTGGCTGATTTTTGCCTTATCAGTAGACAATCGGAATCAGTAGAATTATTTCTATTTCTGATTGAGTAAAACCGATTGTTGAGAAAATATGCACTTAAAAAAATTACGTACTATACATTGTGTGTTGATACATGTTGCATGTACTAACATACACTAAAGCAAATTAAAGAAAGGTACACTTTTAAAAGGGAATATGTTATGTAATTCAAAGCAAATCAATCGTGTGGAAACTAAGTGTTCTTTGAGCAACCATATTCTAATCATGATTTATTAATAGTGGAATACTTTGATATTAGTGCATATTCTAATCAAGCCTGAAAATACAGTCGAACCCCTATAAGCGGACACCTCTCTTAAGCGGACACCTCTTTTAAGCGGACACATATCTCAGGTCCCATTCATTTTCTTTAATAAATTACTATTATCATAACCCCTATTAAGCGGACACCCCTCTTTAACGGACGCGGACACCTTTCTGGAGGTCCCAATGGGCAAATCAACCTCTCTTAAGCGGACAGATGACAGATTGTCTGATAAAATGTATTCAATATTCGACAGTAAATAACAATTGAGACCAATTTACATGGCACATTGACAGTGACACGCCAACTTGGCGCGAAGACATCAGAGCCAAGATTATTGAGAAAGTGAGGAACGAGGACGGAGGACTGTGAGCCCCCAGCTATGATGATACTCAAATTACACACCTAATTACACACTTTTGCCCCCTGCTGTGTTTTTCTACATACCCTTTTACTGTCGTTCCAATTGAAGTGTTCCTCAAATATTGATTCAATACATTACCTCAGGCTGACCAATTCATTTGATCAAGTTCCTCGAGATATTCATACACTTCCTGTGAAAGAGCCAATTCCAGGTATTTGATCATTTCTGGTCACTTCCTTTCTATTTATGATTGGTTAGTTGCACAAACAACGAAGGTGATTGGTGCATTCAAACTATTCAACAGGAAGTTTACAATTGTACTAGGAAGTGTATGAATATTTCGAGGAACTTGATCAAATGAATTGGTCAGCCCGAGGTAATGTATTGAATCAATATTTGAGGAACACTTCAATTGGAACGACAGTAAGCGGACACCCCTTTTAAGCGGACACTTAGGCGAGGTCCCGAAGGTGTCCGCTTAATAGGGGTTCGACTGTATCACACAACTTATTGTCATATCATATCTTGAGTTTTGAGTTTTGTTTTGTAACCCTCAACATATCTGAAAGAAATGCGTCAAATAAGCATGGATGGGCCAAATATAGGATTTGGTAAATGGCTTCTTGTTATTTTTGTTATTATAATAATTAAGCAATATTGTAAAATACAGGGATGGATTTACTGGGGGGTGCTATTTTTCATGATAAAGCAAACAAATTATTAGAGACAAAATGAGATTCAGTAATTTGAGTAATAACATGATGATAAGCGAACTGTGAACAACAATTACAATTCATATACTGTAGTCAAGCAAGACTTTGCAGTAGTGGAACAAGTTGATGGACGCGTAAAGTCACTGGAAACCAATTGCAACGTACTCGTCCGGAAAAATTTTTTGCCTCAAAAGTTGTCGGCAGGGAAGTCATTGCTCTCCGAAAAAAAAATTTTCCGGAAAATTTTTTTAAATAGGGGTCCTTAAAAAATTTGCACCCCCCCCCTACCAGATCGTGCTGGATCCATCCCTGGTAAAATAACCTTTTCCTTGTAGATTCAGTTAACAAGATCTCGATCTAGTGGCAATGAAGATAATGCTATTATAGTACCGATATATTTACCTCCTGATAATGGTACTACACCAAGTCAAGTGACAAGTCTGGATAATATCCCTAATGACTCCTCTATCAAACTCAGTCCACATATTGAAGCTGTTATCTCTCATCTTAAGACCTGGAGTGAAACTACACATCGTTTACCAGGTTTGCTAATATTTATCTTTTCTACTCCGCAAACGTCTCGTACCCATAGATATCTTATATACACTAGATCAGCCACTCCTTGCGTTATCAACAATATAGTATTGTAATTACCAACCGTTATCAGCAATAAGTTATTGCGTTGTAACTCTAACCCCCACCCCCTAATCTCTAACCCCCACCCCCTGACCCTAAAGTTGGTGAAGTATTGTAATTATCAACCGTTATCAGCAATAAGTTATTGGTTTTAACCCTAACCTCTAACCCCCACCCCCTAACCTCTAACCCCCACCCCCTAACCCTAAAGTTGGCTGCCGTGATTGCAGACTCAGGATATTCCCATGAAATGAGAAGTCTCGTATGTTTTCTATTTCTTAAACAGGGAACTTAAACATTACGTTAAACCTATTCCAAATACATTTTCAAACTATTCAAATGATGAAAGTTATTGTTTTTTAAGCGTTTATTAGCGAGTGAGAAACTCCAATACGGCCGCCATCTATTCAAATGAGGGTAACCGCTGGAATATTCTTGGCTTCAATTTTACTAAAAGAGATGCGCTATCTAGTGTATATAAGATATCTATGCTCGCACCTGTATTTTTTGCCCGCCGCCGGAGGCCCTCGAGGACCAAATTAGGAGATTTAATACCAAATGTCAAACATATTCGTTCATTTGTTTCCTTCTTATATTGTTTAATGAGTTGTTCCTGAATTTTGAAAGCAATAAAATTATTGTGTAATCGCAGATGATACGCAGCATTTAGGAACAGTGATTTTTATTGGTTGCATTCAATAATCAGACATAGTACCACAGTGCGGTGCCCTAGAGCATGCGCAATACACTATTTTTGAATAAATACCAAGGCTTATAATTCCCAACAGACACCGAGAGACTAACAAATTCACTGACCAACAAATTCACTGACTAACAAATTCATTCAATTGCTTTTGTACAGCGGATTTGATCATATCCACATGTAAATTTGCGCGTGAGAAATGCTAATCATGTTCAGAACAAAATTGTTTTGTTCTTTAGAAAACCTCCGTCCACTTGGAGGTCGTCGTCTTAACAACTGCTAGCTAACTAAATAATCTTCGAATAAACAGGATGCTAGCACAACCTAGACTGTGCTCCAGTCCACCTAGCTCAATCCCCCAATCCTAAATCTAACCCTTACCTACCTCAATCCTAACCTTTAATCACAATTCTAAATCTGACCCTCACCTATCCTAACTCTCGCCTACCTCAATCCTATAACCCTTAATCCTAACCCCTATCCTAAATCCAATCCTCGCCTACTCCAATCCTTAATCCTAATCCTTGTGACGTCATTAGTTTCGTGATAGTAAAATGGAAAGTTATCCGATTTTGAAACGTCGTATGTAATTATTTGAAAATGACGTTCTGAAAACATTGCTATTAGATTATCCCCTAAGTTTCCCAGATGGTATCGGAGCTTCAAAGCTTATTATTGCCCCTTCAAGGCATCCCTAGTACATTATTTCCTCATTAGGATGACATGAATTTCCTTTAGCAGTATGCCGACCTTGATCGACCCGGCGAATTCGCGAACGAACTTCTCGTTGCAATAATAGGGTCATTTCCCGTGCCTAGGTCATCCTTTTTTTAATATCGTCGGTTCCTGCTGCAGTGGGTATTGATCGCGGTAAAATTTGCTAATTATTTCAAATAATATTCAGTCCAACTTTCGAAAAATAAAAGATGGAATTTTTTTTTCAATTTTTTTTCATATTTTCCAAATTTTGCATTTCAAAAGGGTTCTGCCCAACACGAATGAAAGAGTATTATAAGGACATGATGTTTCGTGACTCACTGTCTTTCTAGAAGTTTATACCTCGGTATGTGCTTCTACCAAGTCAAGAGATTCTCAAGTAATTGTCACATCAAAGTTTCCGTGCATCGTATTTTGACATCTTGCCATATTTCGGCGAATTTAAAAGTATTCCTTGCGAGTTAAATCTACCATTCATAGTCGACAGACAACGTTATATCAGTCCTAAGACTTTGGCATAACTGTGCTCATTTTCTTGGTAATGTGGAGTGAAAATTATAGTGCTAATTACAAAAAAAAAACCCACATTAAACCACACACAAATAAATGTTGTCCCTGTGACAATTTGTTTATTTCATTAATAACTTTTACATGCGTTTAAACCTTTCCGTTCGTATGAGAAACACTGGCATGCAGCCTTAAAAGACAAGTACTTCTAACATGTTACAGAAGCTGTGATGTCAGTCTTTCATTTACCACCTGATGCAACACCTGTTCTTTTTTATGATGCAATACACTTTTTTTAATTGCCCTCAGTTCAAACAGTTTACCATATATAACAACGTGGCCAGTCACAAGTATACTTCGTATTTCTAAGTACTTCCTTCCACGTGCGTACACTATTATTCATCGCCAAGCTGAAACGATGTCAGTCTATTTCTGTCACAGGGTGGCAGCGGAAATGTGGGCGAGTGTGGAACAATGATTAGTTTGTTCACCAAACAGAGCTCTCTGAGAAATTTAAAGATATAAAGTCTCTTTAAAACGGTTTTTATATGGTGTAGTTTCACAGAACTGCCCACAACACTTTCTATTAGAGGTGGGCAAATCGGATTCGTTCGGATTTCGGAACAAAAATATTCATTTCGAATTGGATCGGACTGATAAAGTTGTTTCGTAGTCGGATCGGATCGGACTTCGATATTCGAAATAAAATGAATTAATTATCCACGACAACGTGGTTGTCGCTGCATTATTCGTTTGATACTTCAATTGGACGTCACTTTGTCAGCTTCTTGATATGTATTTCTTGCTTTTATATTTATTTTGTTAAATATTTCCACTTGAATGAGAAATTTATTTTGTTAAAGGATTCTTCTGATCGGATCGGAATTCTTTATCAAAACTCGGATCGGATTCGGATTAGACAATTTCGGATCGGATCGGATTTTAAACATTAGCCAATTGTCGGATTATAAACGTCCGATCCGATGCACACCTCTACTTTCTATATCCTTGTGGGCCGCAGGTTCGATTCCGCAGAGCCGGTAGTTCCATTTTACGCAACTGCTCCAAGTTTAATAAATGTATAAAATTTACACTCGAAATTTCTTCACTCTCAGTTTAGATAAACGACAATTATCATTTCATTTTAGGAAAACTTAAAAACACTCCGGCTGCTATAAAATTTGTCATGAAACGTTTTGGAATCCTTTACCGCGGCTGATAGTTTCGGCAAATACAGAACTAATGTTATTCTGGAAAAAGTATGCATGCATGAATTCTGGAAAAGTATGCATGAATTCTGTAACGCTATACGCAATCTACTTAAAAATATATGCATTTCGAATGGAGATGAATCGAAATTGATTCGAAATATACAGATTTTTAAATAGAAAATGCAAATGGATATAGTCCTTCGTCGGGAAATTAGTGCGCCAATAGTTGCCAAGTTTTACTGGTATTTTTCATATAATTGAATCCATCTGCATTTCTCTCGTGTTTTTGTTACCACCTACGTTGGCTCAGACCGTTGCGATTTTTAAATAGATCATGGATCAATAGATCAACTCTTGACGAAGGGCCTTCGCTCGAAACGTCGAGTTTCTGCTTATTTTTAAGGTAGTAATATAACCACTCAGCACAGTGTATTCATGCACACTTTTTTTGGAATAACATTAGTTCTGAAACGTTTTGGCAAATCAGGAAATATTGTAATAATTTTGTTAAAATGAAATATTAATAATTGTACAAAAAAGATGAATAGAATTGAAGAAGATCTGCACACCGGCTGTGAACACTTGCATATGTTATGGCAGTGGGCACCCCACTTCTTTGTCTAGAAAGTGTCGAGCAACGAAATACATCCTTCAAGACTACACGTCGACTTATACCAACCATTTAAAGCAATTTGACCGATTCTCCATCTGATACTGGTTCGAGATAAAGATATTATGTTTTATTTTTACAAATAGTGACTTAAAACATTATGACTTAAAACCTGAAAACTATACACTAGGCAATCCATCTCATCATATTCGCCTTAACGTCTGCAGAATATCTTCTTTCCGAACTCTATTTTTCAGTACGATTCGAAAACAGTTAAAGATTTTAACTTTCGACCGGCGAATCACATTGAAAAGGAATTAAAGAATGATCTATACAGTTATCTACTCCATTAAGTACTGACTGGAGTGATGTTATTTCATCAATAATGTCTTGTTTCTTCCAGGAACATGTCCTCTCTATCCTGCTGTTCTATCACTACTCAAGAGCCTGGTTGTTCCAGAGTAGTTGCACAAACTTCATGGAAATATATTACCAGTATCTGGGCTAGGACTGTCGTGCCACTCGAACCGTAAGTCTTTCAACTGCTCAAATCATTGAGAACATATAAACTTGCTTATCTCAATCTGGAGTCAGCTTAAGGGAGTAATTTTAGTAATCTCGTAACCCGAATAGAAGACAATCCATTGAACAGCTCTAATCCATTGAACAGCTTGAAATTTTATGTATATAACTACAGGATATAGAATTAGAAATAATACAATAATCCTTGGACTTGGTCCGAAAAACGTATCAAATCCAGAAGGAACTTATCGGAAATAATATTTATTTCTGTTGACCTTATGAAAAAATCTGTTCTATTGATTTATTTTATAGTTATTAATCAGTTTTTGCCCTGAATGCTATCTTGTCTAATCTATACTTTATTACTGTTTACTTTATTATTGCCCAGAGCAAAATCTTCCCTGGGGTCTCTGTGAAGTCATATCTTAATTGCAGAA